AAACTCTACTGTTTAAGTGCTTTAATATGAGGTATTATCATTCAGGTCTTTTATATGTTCGAATTCAAAGATAGATAAACCAATGTGTTGAGGGTTTAATTACAAAATTAAACAACTTTAAAATAACTAAATAATATATTCTCAAATAGCTGAGGCAAATACTTTCAGGTTTTTGTATACTAAATGTAATGTAAATGTCATACTCCTTTGCAATTAAACCAATCATCACAATATTTTTGCGATATTTTTTTCTCTGTGCATGGACCAGCTTTGTTTAGTGTTTGCGATCTGCTAATGGAGTCTTGCACATGGCTACACCCACGTATTGCTGGTATTTCCCGATGCCAAAGTTGCGCCAGGCGATCACCTCATAAATCACAGAGTGGCCAAAAAGAAGTTGGACATGGTCTCCGGTATTGTTTCCCTTAGCAACTTTAGTGGCTGTGTGTTTTATGGTGTGTTTTGGGCCATTTGCACATCATTAGGCCGACGGGCCAAGAGTTAATGAAATTGTTAAAGATCTTTGACCAAGCTTTAGCGGCTAATCCATTGGATGCGGCTCCATTTTCGAAATTGAGAGCTCAAAATCGCTGGGCTCCATTCAATGTATTTGAATGATTTGACCGCAAAATCATCTATCTATATTTAATTGATTATACCCCGCCTGAGTAATGATCGATTGTCAGATCTTTATCTTTGTCTCGCCCAGACAATCTCACTTATTCACCCGATTGGAGCTTTTTAAGGGGAGACTAGACATTTTGATGGCAGCTAATTGAAGCATTAGCAAGCTACATAATGAGCTGAATGAGGAGAAATTTTGTTAATTAATTATAGGGCTATTTGATCAAATGATTTTAATCATTAAAAAGTTAAAAAGTGAAAAAAATCTTGATATCTAAACAGATCATAGTTTTCAAGAAATAAAATACCATCTAATTCAAACTTTTTGACAATAATGAAAGACTTTTGGTTTTTAAATTAAAATTTTAACATTACTTCTCGTATATCTTTCCGTAACATAAACTTTTTCAAAGATCGACATAAGTTTGGATATCTTTTTCGGACTTACATATTTTCCGTTTCAATGCGCATGGCTTATTTAATACCAATTTAGGGACTAAAACAATGGATTCGATTTTAGCCAGACAAATAGCTGGGCTTCATTATAATTTTTTAAACATATATTTTATGCCTGCATTTAGCTGAGAAATTAAGCACGACTTTTCAAGGCTACAGCTAGGTTTTTTTCCCCACTTTGATTATATTTTGTTTTTATTTACCCAAAGTGTTGTCTGCATTTTTTGTGGATTTTGTTTTGTGATCGCTTTGATTTAATTTGTGTTTGCTGGTTTCCTAACATTTCGGTTACAAGTATATGGACGAAAAAAACAATAAAATGTTATAATAAATCAGAGCTGCGATGACAGATTAATTAAATTTATTAATTTATGGCAGCGGGTTAAATTATTCGCTTTATTAATTACTCACCTATTGCGGGTTTATTGTTTTGTTTTATTTTTTGACTCACTGTTGTTTTTTGTTAACCTTTTTATTCACTACCGTAGTGTGTTGAGCTTTGCTTTTTGTATTTTTGTGAATTATTTTCTCTTTTTTGCCACCGCACTCACTTGAAAATTTTACTAATTAATAAACTTAACACGTACCGAAGAGCAGCGCGGAGATTTCAAATTGTGTTTTTCGGCTTTGGGTTTTGGGTTGTCGATTTCGGTTTCGTTTTTTCCGTTTCACGCGTTTGCCAATGCTCACGGCGGCAGCTCGTAGCCAACTGAGCGGTCTTAGCCAAGTTAACAGCGGCCCAGTGCCGGGAACTCGGGGCAGAGAAAAGCAGAGCTTGGGCCAGAGCAGCGATATATGGCAAAAGATACGGCCAGCCGGCTCCGATCTACCCAGCTAATCTCTCAATTTAGCCCGCTCAACTTTGAACTTTTTGGCCCGTGATTCATGTCGTTGGCCACATACTATAATATGATATGTGCGGTTTTTTGCTTTTCTGGCCCGATTCAAGACCGGAAGTCCAGCGGTTCGGGCCATTCAACATGACGCGGGCCTTATTTATTGACAACTTTTATTGTTTGTTTTACATTGTCGCCAATATGCGAACTGCAATAAAGTGAATTTATTTAAATTGTTAATTTTTTTTGTCGCCGCTCGTTAATTGTTGTTCGGCGTTGCCGTTGCCGCCGGTTTTGGCCCATAGAAACGATTCATTGTTCGGGCGACGATTTTGGAATTTTATGGCCAATGAAGGTCATTTAACAGCTTTTATCTGTCGCAGATTTGTGACTGCTGCCGTTGATTTGATTTGATTTGGCGCTGCCGCCGGCGAAGACATTGAATGTTGGCAAGAAAAGGCTTTTAATGGCCAAGACCACGCACAATTGTAGGAGTTACCGACGTTTATGTCTCTCGGCAAAGGCATTTAAATCAATTTTTGAGCTTCACCAAAGGTGGAATGAGGGAAATTATTGCATAAGGGGTATATCAGCTTGATTTTGTGAAATTTCCTATACATCTCTAAATAGTGTTTTAATCATAAATATCTAAAGACAATTAAAGTAATAAATCGTTATTTATAAGCTTATTTAGAAAGCGATGAGTAACAATTTCTCTTCCAAATTTATGCAACTATGAAAAGCGGGTACATTAGTAACACAAGTAAATAAAGTTATTATTGAATAATATAAGGATATTGTGTAAATAATGCAATGCATTTAATACAAACATAGCTGGGCATGTTGTTTAACACTCCTTTATAAGTATTTACTAATATGAAATTTTATTTCTTTATTGACATGATATTAATAGGCATATAAAGCAAAACCTAAAACATGTGTTTATTAATGTTCTTTAAGTACTTTACTTGTACTTTAATAAACATCACTACTTAATTTACAGAGTATCCTTGAGTCCATCTCGCGAATTCCAATCATTATTTATTTTAACAGCTGATTGCCAATAGGCAATGTCCCATAAAGCATGAGCTTTGCACTCTCAAATCTTCCGAGGCTTTTTTGGAATTTTATCCGTTGCCTTGTTGGTTTCGACGTTCAATTTTGGTTTTTTCGGTTTTATTTTGGCACAACTTTCACAAAGACGAGACCTAGACCGCGAGGCAGAAAAGTACGGGAAAACCCTTGCCGAAATCACGATATGGGGAGCTCCGCGGCTCTTATCGAAAATGGTTTTTAATGCGTTTTTAAGTCAAATTAGTGACTTCATCAGTCTGCCGGCCGAGCAGGCTCAGTTTCGATTTGAGATTCACTTAAGCCGCTCATTAATCAAACTCCGAGTCCCAGGTATCGGGACCAAAGTCATTTTATAACTAAAACTAACACGTGTATATGCATATGTAACCCGTGGAAGGGCCACTCCCCCCTAACTGCCCACCGCCTCCGCCGTTTTGGGGCTTAGCTGCAATTGCGAAAGGGTTAATTAGAGGCTGGGCCTGGCCATCTCAATGCCATCTCAATCGGTTGGCCAACGAAACCATTAAAATCGCCGTTTGCCCCGGGCCAATTTCATACCAATTCATACCTCTGTCGCATTTTTTTTTGGCCCACTAACCCGTCGAGCATCACCCGCTGTAATAGCTGTTTCAGGCGGGCAGTTTTTAATTTCGACTTATTTTATGAGTTCACTCCTAAAAAACCATAAAACGTTTTAAAGCCCCACCGAAAACGCTAGAAAATCGCGCGCAAAACGCATTTTTGGTTGTGATCTTCGATTGGTTGCTGACAGAAGCTTTATTATATTACACTTATCTGATATTTGCATTTGAACAAAAATCATTTTTAAATATATTTATATGCAACAGTAGAGTCTATTTATTATCTTTTTGTTCAAAATATTTTTCATGCTTATATCAGACTTTGAAACAATTTACAAAATATATGTTGAATGCTTAATTTTCACCCATTTCATATCACATCTTAAACATCTTTCAAACATTTTAAGGCCACATTTTAAATTTCTTGCATTTTATTGCCCACCCTACATCTCTTAACAGTTAATAAAATAGTTTAAATTATGATTTCGTTTATATTCAAACGCAATTTTTTCCTACTTCTTTTTAGCGCATAGCACATTATAAAATCTGAAAACAATTCGTGCCGGCTGTTCTTTATGATTGTTTAGCCATAACAGCCTCCTCCTGTCACTTAGGGCATAATTTATATTCATGACTGGTCAAGGCGCCTAAAGAAATCCCAAGGTGGGGGAAAAGACAAAGAGAAAGCAGGAACTTTTCACCACATGTCCTTCAGATAAACAGAATAGCACAAGAGAAAACCATATGTCTTGGATTTCAACACCATAAGCGGTTCTGTTTCGCCCTTGTCTACGCCTGTCATTTAAACTAAATGGCCATAAATAATGAGGACTTAATAAGTTTCAATGGCTGTCATACTAAACATTTTCCTTTAAATCCATAAAAAATGCTGTGCGAACAGTAAAGTGTTTTACCAAACGGTTTGAGTTTCCTTTATAGGCAATAGGCTTATTTCAAGATGCGAGCGTCTCCTCGAACTTTAAGCTTTTTTTTTTGAGATTTTAGTATTAAATGGTTACTAGTTTTATTTTATTAAAATATAGATACAAATTAATAGACATGTTTTAATAAAACTCGAATATCCCCTTTAACAGTTTAAACATATGAAGTTAAAAAAAAAGAATAGCTTTCCTTTATGAAGAGCTTTGTAAATAACACAAAAATTTAAAATATATATATACCAACTCTTAAGATTACAATATATATGAGAACAGGGTAACCCTCTCGTGTTCTTCCGCCTGACAACTCAAATAAAATGTGTGGTATTTCGGATTTCAACCCCCATTGGCGTTCCCGGAGCCTCCGCCCCTGCTGGCGTTTCGAAACGCCGAGCGCCGAGCGCCAAAGGCCCATCCGCCATCAGCTGGCCACAAACTCACCACGACGGCAGCGTCGGCAGAGCCGGATCCGGCTGCAGTGGCTCCGGCGGAACAGAACAGCACGGAACGCTCTCAAAAGCGCTGGGCCACAGCTGAGAACGGACGTGTGGTGGGTGCCTGTGCCTCCGGTCGTATACTTGATACTTAGCGTTGGGCGCCTCGGTTCTCCGTCGTGTTTTGCTTGCTGGCAGTCTGTCGGTTGGCCACTTGGTCAGTTGGCCAGCTAGTCGGCAGCTGGCCATCAACTGTTACCAATCCAAATGCAACTCCTGGCCAAAAAGAATAATAAACCAGAAAACAAAAAGTGTGTGTGCGCGGAAATTCGTGAAAAAATGCCAAGAAGTCAATGAGGAAAAATTAAAAATTTCGAAAATAAATCAAGTGTGACAAGAGAGAGATTTGCAGAGAGAGAAAGCAAAAGAAAGCACAAATACCGAAACGTATAATCTGAAATCTAAATTTCTAGTGACGCGTTTAAAAGTGCAGAAAATGTGGCCATCGCAGTCAATCAATTGATTTTTCTTTCTTTCGGCCAGCAGTTGGTGCGGGAAACTCTAAGATATTTGTATCTCTTTTTTTTGGGGTCACAGGACATTAATAATGCCAAGGAAGCACGTTTTGGGGGAAGTTGTATCGTAGTATGGCAAGAACTACCAATAAGATATGTTTATCTGGGTAACGAAACAAATTGCCAAACGGAAGCCCAAATACCAGATCGTCGAAGCCCCAAAAACAGGGTCATATGATTGACAATGGTTAAATGGGGGTTGCTACTTAGTTGGCGTCAGGCGGGAAAAGTCGGGAGATTCGGAAAAGCCAGACAACAGACGCGGCGTCGCAATAATCATAAAGGCAATAACAACACGGCCAAAGAAATCATAAATTCATGTGTCAGCGATTTGGGCTTCCTAGGGGGTTTCCATTCTCGTTTTCGTTTTCAAGGGGGTTTCAGTTTCGGTATCGTTTTCCCCTTCTTGGGGGCTAGAGTCTCCCCTTGATTATTCATTCATGGGTCGTAATTAGCCGAGTAGTTGCAGTTGCCTGAATTATTTGGCAGCCACAACGCCACTTGGCCAATTAGGCGCTTAAAAGACATACACTCACAAAAACAAAGACAGGTGGGCAGAGCACACAGAACACAGAACACCGCACACTTTTCGCTTGACTAAGGTCAAAAGTTGTCGCTCAGTCTCCATAAAGATGGTCCCCCAAAAAATAGAACCCATCTGAACTTGATGCTGTCGCTGAGGCTGCCGACGCATTGCGAGGCTGTTTCGGCTATTTTTAACAAAAAAGCACGCCCGCACGGCCAATAAATTTACCCAGAAAATGAAAAGCCAACAAAAAGAAAAGCCAAAAAAGAGGAAAACACAGAGATCGGAAAACTATATGTACGATGTAGTATGTAGCCTACAACCGAGGCATTCATATTAATTAAACTTTGCAAGTGGAAATCTACTTTGAAAACTTCAAAACTCATTTCTTTCGGGGCGGAATGTAGTTGTCAAATCGCACGCACAACAGGGAAAACAAACCAGCGGGAGAGAGGAAAATCCCAAATACTCTCACACAGAGAGAGAGGGAATTTTCCGAGAGAGAGAGACCGCCAGAGAGAGCCATGGTTTTCCAGGAGGTTTGGTTTGGCTTGGTTGGGGCCTTCCAAAATAACACATTCCTCGTACAAAGGATTGGCTTCGCATTGACATTGGAAGCCTCTCGGCTTTCCGCTTTTCCTGCTGCTCGAGTTTGGAGTTTCCCCGACGCTTTCAGTTCGTGGCTAGACTTTGGAGCGTGCTGTGCTTGGAAAAACTGTGTGCGTGAGCAGCGGAAAATCGGAAAAGCCTCCCGTGCCCCCACCCCTTCTACACACACCGCACCTACACACACACACTCACTTCTACACACCGCATTTTCCACAGGCCAGGGCAAATGTGTAATAAAATCGAAACAATGGAACAGCAAACAAAACAACAGAGAATATAATACCGAATTGAAGTTCATTTGAATTGTGAGTGTCGGGGGCCGCAAGAAAAAGTGTTTTCCCTCGGTGAAGCAAGGCGTGTACCACCCATAAACGTACGAATACAAATACAGTGGGGAAAAAGGAGAGGCCCAAAAGGCAGACAGATAGGCTGGCGGAAAAGGAAAATCCGCTAGGACTGGCATTACCATAACGCTAACTCGCCGTATAAGTTTTCCTTTTCAAATTATAACAAAAAGTGTAACTTAAGATGTGTTTTCTTTGTTTCCAGCGCGTTTGTGTGAGACAACTGTTTTCCTAAAGATAATAGGATAAATGAAAATTCCCCCTAATACAATTGGAAAATGTAAAATAAATATATTCCTATGCTATAACAAACAAACACAAAATCAAAAAACTTAATCAACGCTTAAACAAAACTCCCTAAGTAAATCTTGAACGCAAAAGAAGTTAATACTCCTTAGTTGGTGAGTAGAAATAAAATACCACGTACTATAAAAGTAGTATTTATTATATTTCCTACGCTAGTTGAATAAAATTCTTGTTTTGAGTGGTAAATTACAAAAAAATACGAGTTAGAACACTACTTTGATCAATTCTATATACCTAAAATAGGTATGGGAAATGAAGAAATTATTTGTGTATTTCCTGCATACCTTTCTTTTATGAAGTTATGCTAATACAATCGATATTTGGACTCGTGCCGCACTTTTGGCAACTTTACGAGTCAATTAGCGTTTGTAATTTGACATGCTACTTACTCAGGCTTTCCACATTTTCGAGAAGCCCTTTTCGCATTTGAACTGGGGTTTTTATCGGCCACAATTACCCGAGCTGCGCAAACACATTTCCCAAGTTGTCAAACGGCCTTAATGGCACCTATGCGGGATCCAGATCCGCCCCGCCCCCAACCCAGATAAGGAATAAAAATAATATAATACTCGTGCTAGTTGACAGACAAGCCAATAATCAAGCGATGTGCCGCAAATATTGTGATAAGGCGGTGCTATCCACCTCGGCGTTTTCGCCCCTTTTTCCACCTGCAGCTGGGAAAAGCGGGAAAGTTTTGGGGAATTTATGGGGGAAATTCGGCTGGGCGAGGCTGGGCCATAAAATATACTTAGTCCAAACATTGTTCGCAGGTGATAAAATTGCTTTGGATGTGTAAACAACAACACTGCACGCTTCTTAATGGCTTGCCAATTTTGTTTCCGTGTTTGGGGGGCGTGGCCCACATACAGAGCAATTTTCTCCAAAGTGAAAGGTTTCCAAAGGGATTGACGGGATTGTCGGGAGCGAGTGAGGCGGAAAAGCCTGTTAGAATTATGGAAAAATCAGTAAGTGCACTCGAACACGCTCTTGTAATCTATAAATCAGCTTGTGCTAAATTGGATGTAGGTAAATATTTTGATAGCCTTTTACTCTCAATATCAAGCATAAGCTTTCTTGATACTTACTGCTTTTGATAAATAATACTAGTTCTTAAGATGATTATAAACTATTTTTACAGTTGTCTTAAAAACTTAAATTCTTAACAAATTCTGGACACATGTATCTAAAATAAATATGTTTTTAATGCACTATTTGGAATAGGATAAGAAATTATAACTAATAGGTAAAGAGAACCACCGAAAATCTCATATAGTCATGTAATGTAGTTATAAGCAGTTGACATATCTGGAAATTTACCAGATATGTCAAAAACCCATGCTCGGAAACTAAAATAGCTTCAGAGCTCAAAGAGCTATTTCCGCACATTTTGTATTTGTTTGGCTTTATAATAATCCAGTTTACTTCCCCATTCGAATATCTTTAGCTGCCATTCAGCCAAAAGTTGGTCCTGAAGGTTGTCCATAAATTTGGTCTTCGGTCTGCGCGCTTGTACTTATTTATCTTTGCACAGTTGCCAGTTAAAAGCTATGAATTGTGTTGGCTGTCGAAATAAATACCAGACCGTTGCAGTCTGACATTTTTATGGCAGTTCCAAATTATTCAGCTCTAGGAGAAAGGACGATGCGAAAGTAGATGCTGAATGAAAATTCCATACGGCATTTGTTCGGCTTTTCCCATCACTTTTTTTCTTGTGGTTCCGAGTAAATTGCGGCTTTCAAATTGATATATTTGTGGTTGTGGATTTAAATGATTTGTCAACTCATTGAACACATGGTATCTTGGCAAACAATGATTAAAGAAATGAGAAAGAAAGTTGTCCTTTATTTTGCAAGTATTTGTTAATGTTCATGGTCCATTAGGCGGCCAAGTTGGGCTTTTATTAGAGTTTGCCAAGTGTGGCACCGCTTACTTGGGCCATTAAAGTTGTTAACTGGATTTGAGGCCACCATGGGATCCTATCCCATCCATCCGCTTGCCATGGTGATAGTTTTTTCTGCCTGCACATTACTTATCCCGGATGTGCTTTTTTCGGCCTGATGACGCGCATACGTCGAAGTTCGGGCTTATCTTGCCCCTTTTTCTATACTCTAGACCTCCGGATTGGGACCGTGCCCGTACCCTATCCCCCGGATTCTACCACCACTTGAGCGGAGTCAGCGAAGCGCGCTTCCATTCATGTTTGAGGGCACATAATCAATATTTGGCAAGCAGCCGAATCGCATATGACAAACAGCGACAGGCCCGAGAACTACGCGATATATGCACGGGTAGTATGGTATGGGAATATATGGTATATGGGTTATAAGTGCCACGGCGACTGGAGGAGGGGTCCAAGGCGGAGGCCCATTGCCATCCCATCAGCAAAGTGCATCAGCCCATTGAATCCTGCCTGAGTGGGCTTTTGATGATTTACAAAAACGGATTTTGTTTTTGCCAGCGATACTCTTTTGCATAAATAAAATGGGGAGCGGAGTTGATTTGCTGCTAAATTCTGCATTGAAAAGTAGGTTGAGACCTTAGGAAAACCCTTTCTTTTAGATATTGTAACAGAAATATATTTTGAACGCATTATAGGATCATTATTTGGTATATTTGAATATAAGAGATATATTTTCTGTGGTTTCAGTTTGTGTAGGCTATAATACATTACGGTAAATATAGGCCACTTTCTTATATGAGAGTATCTCCAATTCCTCATTGAGAATCCACCGTTTAAATCCGCTTTGGGCTGGCAAATCAACTTCTTGTCGGAGTCGCTAGTCGAGCTTTGTGCAGCTCCCCGAGGCGATAAAAATCAATGGCAGTGGCAGTCAGAGAGTCGCAGGCTACGGATATTATTGCCCCGTAGTTTTTGGCACACATGCAATGCCACGCTGCCTACTCTCCCGCTTTCTCCGCCCACTTTCTTTTTTCATTTCACCCTTTCGCGCAGCGTGGGAGTTCAAAAGTCGCCGCTCTGCTGACATGGGCTGCAAAGTGCATTCTGCATTCTGCATTCTGCAGGTGCAAGATTCTGGCGTGGGCGTTACCCGGCGCTCAGACGACAACACAATTGGATTTAAGGCAAGATGACAGCGAAAGGCGGGGAAAATCGTGGAAAAGCAGCCTGAGCAGTCAAAACTTTGGGGCTTGTTGTCCCCCTTTTTTTTTGTTCCACCGAGCCTTGTTTGTCAAGGCAGAGCTGCCAAGAAAACGGCAGCGCGCCACAAATTTTCCCTTTCAATTGGACAACTAGAGCGGCAAAGGGGGTCAAGACGAGTAAACACTTGTGCAGTGAAAGAAATATGTGGTGAGAATATTATGAAAAAATTCTGACTGCAGAAAATTGAAAGAAAGTCCTAATAGAAAAGTAGGAAGATATCTATCAAAAACCTTCAAAGAAATATTGAAAAGAAAAATAATACAGGTTATGATAATACGATTACTTTAGAGACATTTAAATTCCAAGCTATTTTAATCATAATTAAAACAATGCAAACATAATATAATAAAATATATATAAATACAACTCAAGCCACCATTGCATTACTTGTATTGTTTTTTAGTTCATATTATTTTCAATCTTTCTCTCTGCGTATCCTAAATCCTGAATTTTCCCCCAGTGCACAGAATCTCCTCCCAGGCTGTCACAGACTTCTGGAGCCTGCTCGGATCTCCGATTCGCAGCCTGCTGGCTTATTTATTCATGTGCTTCGAGTGGATTGCATTTGCCTGAGCGATGGAGTGCCAATTGCTCACGCCCAAGGGATTCCGCTTCGATTTGCTGCGCAACGCGGCGTATACGCAACGCGATTAATCTTGGCCGCCCAAAACGTAGCTCATTAGCATGGAAGTGTTGTAGAAAAAGAAAACATGGAGCAGAAAAACAGTGCAAGATTAATTGTGGGTCGTGTGCTCATCGTAGCTCCTCTTTTCGGCCACTTTGGAGGCAGCCGCTCGTTTTGGCCTAAGTGCCAGCACATTTATGCTAAATGGCCAGCCAAGAATTGTCTGCGGCAACAACTTGAAACTAATTGCCTCTTGACTTTCCTTTCCCTGCCCTCCATGCGGATGATTTTCCACCCACTCTGCTGCCATCGCATTTTGTCCTGGCTGGGTAATTGTTCACGGAGAACTGCACTTAAACACACAACATTACCGGGAATGTGTGGCAAAATGCTCAAATGCAATTGCTATTGCGGCTGTGGCCCGATGTGCGATGTGGTACACCTCTAATGACACAGCAATGGACGGGGCAAGACTGGAAAAGCCACAGAAAAATATATAAAATACGCAATATAGAATGGAATGGAGAGGATAAACTTGGTCATGGGTCGGGAAAAGTAAAACAAAACTTTCACTATAGCAAAAGGTGCTTTAAAGTTGATGGCTTATGAGTTATTTCGAATTATGTGGTGTGTGGAGAAAATAAAAACAAGATTGAGGGTCAAAACTTTAACATTTTCTTGTTCGATATTTTTGCAAATTCAATGGTATTCAGAATGGGAACCCAAATCTTCACTTCTAGATACCATAACTTGAGTTATTGGAGCCCGATTAAGACGTGGGATACCTCTGTGAATTTATGGTTGAATCCTCTAACAATTTACATTCAAGCTTATCTTTTTAACGAGGATCGAAATTTTAACCCATTTTCATGTTAGATTTTTCCATATTTCCCAAGGGGTCCAGAAAGGGAACCCAAAACTGCACTTCTAGAATCCATAACATTAGTTATTGGACCCCGATTTAGACGTGGGATACCTCTTTGAATTTGTGGTTGAATTATCTAAAAGTCCACATTTAAATTTACCTTTAAAACGAGGGTCAAAAATTTAACCCATTTTCATGTTCGTTTTTCCGTAATTCCAATGGTATTCAGAATGGGAACCCAAAACTGCACATCTAGATTCCATAACTTGAGTTATTGGATTCCGATTTAGACGTGGGATACCTCATTGAATTTGTGGTTGAATTCCCTAACAGTCTACATTAAAATTTACCTTTTAAATGAGGGTAAAAAATTTAACACATTTTCTTGTTAGATTTTTCCGTATTTCCTAAGGGGTCCAGAAAGGGAACCCAAAACTGCACA